TTTTATTTCATTTTGTGTTCTATTTCTGATTAAGCGAGCGTTTCTGATAAAGTTTACTGTTTGTGATGATTTTCTGATTAAAATCAATCTTGTGATCTTTTACTGATATTTTTAGGAAAAGTGTGCTCAAGTGCCCCCTATGGCCTATACTACTTATATGTATACGGCAGTGGATAAGGAGATGCTTGACTGTGAGAGGTTCTCCGCAGGTTAGGCAAATTGTAGGTTTTTCTCTGCGCATAAGATGTCCATAGGACATCTTTGAGTGACCTATACGTAGTCTGTTGATAACTACTTCATCTTTGCGATTTGATGAATAACCAAACCTAACCAATATGCAGTAGTATTTTTTATTTCTCTTGGTTTGTTATTGGGTGTGTGCCGCTATTCAGATTCACATAAATTGGAACAAAAGGAGTTGAYATTTCTATGGATGTCGATGAGTGATGAGTRCGTGCGTATTTCGGTCAGAGGGTTATTTACTGCTTCACGAGCTACTTTGTCAGCTTTCTCATTGCCATCTATTCCACAATGACCTGGTGTCCATATAAACCATATGTTCTTGTTGGCTTTTTCAATGATGTTGCTTATTTTGATTGCTAGGATGCCTGAGTGTAAATTTTTATTTCAGATTGTTTAGAGCGCTTARCGAATCTGTAAAAATGTTAATGATGGAATTGGGTAGTTGAATGGCAAGGTGGATTCCCTCCAGGAGTGCAAAGTATTCCGCYGTATAAATACTGTTAAGGTCTGGCAATTTGTACGATATGGATTGCTCACCGTTTATGATAGCGATCGCAACACCCGAGTTTGTTTTGGAGGCATCGGTATATATTTGTGGTCTAGATGGAGAAGAGTCCATGATTTCATTTAATACATTTTTATATATAATATTTAACKTTTTTTTTTTAYTATGATCCGCTAGACTGGTGTTCACAAGAAATGTTGGAACCCTCCAAGGAGGCACCACACTGCATTCTCGTTTGATAATTAAATTTGGATCAATATGAATGTGCGACATTTCATACAATATTCTTAAACCCAGTGGTTTTTTTAGATTGGGATTGGAGCAAAATGTATTTGCATAACGATTTTAAGTTAAAAATGGTAATGTTGAGTTTTCTGGGGAAGATGGGATGTGAGCAATATAATTTAGAGCTAATTTGATTCTACGAATGTGGAACGGAGGTTCTCCAGCGATAGATAAAATGCTTCGAATGCGGCTGCTTCCAATTKCTCCGGTTGCAACTCTTAGACCACTGTTGTGAATTATATCAATTATTTTATGAATATTGGGGTTTGCATTGGTATAGCAGATGGATCCATTGTCTAATTTGGACCTGACGAGAGATCTATATAAGTTGATTAATATATTACTTTCAGCTCCCCATTCAGMATGGCTCAACGTTTTTAAGATGTTGATACTTTTGGTTGTGATTAYTTTGGTCTTACTTATATGAGGTTTCCAAGTAAGTCTGCTATCAAAAATCAAACCTAGAATTTTTATGTTGTTTACAAA